AGGTCGGTGAGGGGCCCGAACCCCGCGTTGTGCATCTGCGTGCGGTTCAGCGTCAGCCCGTCCGAGAAGGTCATGGTGTCCTGCTCCGGCGTGTAGCGCGTGCAGATCCGCAGGATCTGGGGTGGGGGGAGCCAAGGCCGGGGGAGGCTCAGCCTGGTGTCCCCTCCCCGTCCCCTCCCTGTCCCTGTCCCTGTTCCCCGCGCTCACCAGGATGTCGAGGCAGGCAGCTTTGAGGAGGGTGATCTGGTCAGCGATGGTGAGCGTGGTGAAGCCGGGGAGCTGCTTGGCGAACTCCACCGTCTTGATGATGCACTTGGTGGACAACTCGCTGAACTTGTCCCACAGGTCGATGTCCAGGGACACCCGCTGCTCCGAGCTGTTGTTCTGTGGTGGGAGGTGGGGGGGTGAGGGCACGGAGGGGGTGCCGCCCTCCCCAGCCCCCCCGGACCCTTGGGGACCCCCCTGACACTCACCGTAGTGTATTTGCCGAGCTGGCAGAGCGCGGGGAAGGTCTCCTGGTGGGCTTTGCGCACCTTCTCGATGAGCTCCTCCACCTCAGGGGTGATGATGTAGCTCTCCGAGCACTCCGGCTTGGGCACGTCCTTCTTCTTCTTGTTCCGGTCATTGCGGACGGCTGTGGGGACAGTAAGGTCAGCCACCCAAAGCCACCCAGCCCCTGCCCAGGATGGGGGGCTCAGCCCCACCACGCTCTGTCCCACTTGGGGACGGTGTTCAGCTCTGCCCTGCTAAGCCAACACAGCAGAGAAGGACCCCAGGGACAGAAACGGCAGCTGAGCCATCACGCTGGGTGAGGGGTCCATGGAGGGGACCCCAGGGGTGGCAGCTGGGGAGGGGGGAGCAGCTGGGAGCAGCCCTGGCCCCAAGGGGCTCAGCCTCTGTGAGCTGGGGGGGCCAGGTCCCCCCTTAGGTGGAGGGTGAGCCCCTGGGATGCTGAACCCCCCCTGGCAGTGCCCAGCTCCCCCAGCCCCTCACGGGGGTCCCGGACCCCCAGGGGCCGGCAGATGGGGCAGGACTCGGGGAGGCAGCTGCGCCCCTGCAGCCCAGGCCCCCGGGCACCCACCACGGGGGCACAGCCGGGCACCATGACAACTGCCAGCAGCGCCAGGAGGCCTCATCGGCATAATTTATCCCTGACACTATCAATCACGCGTTGCCCGGGCAACTGCCGAGCTGTGACACAATCCCAGGGGGTCCCCATCCACCCCCAGGGCCTCGCTGGGCACACGGTGGGGGCTGCTGGGATGGCCCATGGCACCCAGAGCACCCCTGACTGGGACACCGGGCAAGGTGTCCCCAACATTGTCCCCATCCCCACCCCTGACTCCATCCCCCCTGTCCATACTCACACTCCTTGGACATTCCGACTTCGAAGCACTTCTGGAGCCGGCAGTACTGGCACCGGTTGCGCGTCACCTTGTTGATGATGCAGTTCTTGTCCCGGTGGCACGTGTACACCATGTTCTTCTGGATGCTGCGGCGGAAGAAGCCCTGGGGACCCCAAACACCCCGGTCAGTGCCCGGTATGGGGACCCTGAGAACCCCAGGGAGCTGTGGGGACTGTAGGGACAGTGGGGACTGTGGGGACAGGGGCAGCACTCACCTTGCAGCCCTCGCAGGCGCTCACCCCATAGTGGTACCCCGAGGACTTGTCCTGGCACACAAAGCAGGGCTTGTAGATGCGGGGCAGGGGCGGGGGCGAGGGGGGGCTGGGCACGATCTCCTCCGAGCTGGTGCTCTGCGTCTCCACCGCTGTGGGGGAAAGGGGTGGCACTCAGGGCACGGAGCCCCCCACCAGGCAGGGACCCCCCACCCCACACCTATCCCCAGGCTCCGGGGGTCCCGGTAGCCCCGGCCCCTGCGCTGCCCACCCCGGCCCCGGCGCCAGGTCGAGCGGGGCCAGCGGGGGAGAGAGGACGCGAGCTGGGAAGATGCAACGTGACATTTCCAGGTCACAGAGACGATGTGGAATTCAGGCAGACACAAAAAAAAAAAAAAAAAAAAAAAAAAGGGGGGGGGAGGAAAAGCAAAGAAAAGGCCTGGGATCCCAGGAGCCTGGTCTGGGTCAGCAGATGGGGGGACAGAGGGGTGAAGGGTTGGTACTGGCGGGGAGGGGGGTCAGTGCCACACACTCCCTCACACATGTGGTCACATGTACAGTGTGCCCCACCCTACCTATTGGGTGACCCCCACAGTGAAAATGTGGCCCCCAGGAGGGGACGGTGACACCCGGCTGGCATCCCACAGTCTCCTGACAGGGGACATCCCTGAGGGCAGCCCCTGGCCACCATCTGCTGCAATGGACCTGTGAGCGTGGAGGTGTCCCTGCACCCCAAAACCTTGTGGGACGTTCCTGCCCCCTCTTCCCGCACCCAAAAGCTTTGTGGGATGACCCAGCTCCCTCCTGCCCCACAGGAACACCCTTGTCCTCCAGGATCCCCCAGGAGGTGCCGAAACCCCTCCAGGCCAAACCCCGTTCCCCATCCTGGTGCACCCCCAGTACTGGGGGAAGGGGGTTCAGCACCATCAGGGTGCAGCCCCTGGCACTAGGGGGGCTCAGCACCATCAGGGTGCACTCCCAACACTTGGGGGGGTCGGCACAGTCAGAGTGCGGCCCCTGGCACTGGTGGGGGTGGTCTCAACACAGTCAGGGTACCCCCCTCAGCACGGGGCACAGCCAGGCAGGGGTTAAAGAGCTCCCCGGCTGCTCCGGGATGTTTGCGAATGTTTTTCTGCAGCGGAGCCAAGCGAACCAGTCAAACAGGATATTAAAGGCCGGGCCCGGCGGGGGAGCCCAGGCCCCCCCCCAGCTCTACCGGCCCCTGCACCCCAAAAAGGGCCCCACGGCTGCCCGAGTCCCCCCAGGGCCGGGGATCCGCGGGGATGGGGCCAGGGAGGAGACAACGGGACAAAGCCACCCCTGGCACTTGTCCCCAGGCTCCAGCAGGGAGGGGGGAGCTCGTGGGGCGTGACAGGAGCGTGCAGGGCACAAGGGGAGCGTGAGGGGTGGGATACGTGGGCACCGAGGGGAGTGTGGGTGCGTGGGGTGGGATATGAGCGTGTGCGGGGTGGGATTCAAGTGTGTGGGGTGGGATATGAGCGTGCAGGGTGGGAGGGGGTGTGTGGGGTGGGACACTGGGCGCGGGGGCGAGCGCGCCGGGCAGAGCTCCCGGGCGGCGCTGAATAAATCACCGCTGCCACTCGAGGGAGCGGAGCCATTAAAGTGACTGAGCGAACGTCGTCTATAATTTATCGCCTCTTTTATATAATTTAAGAACTTCCTCGTGGAGAGCTGCACTCACAAAACGCGGATTTGACAAGATTTTGATGTGCTCGGCGCAGAGGGGGGAGGGGACCCAGCTCCCCCCCCCCCCGCATCCCTGCGCTGGCGGAGCTGCGCCAGCACCCCGGGAATCCCCTGCCACCCCCGGCACCGGCAAAGGAACTGCGGTGCCACCGTGGAGGGGACACGGGCACAGGCGCATCCGCCAGCCTGACCAGCTCCCCGGGAGCCGCCCACGGTGGCATCAGGCCTGGGCACCCTTCGCGCCCTGGGCAGGGCACGGAGCAGCACCCAAAGGTGCTGAGCGGGAAGGATGGGTGCAAACCACCCACGGGGCTGGGTGAGGGGGTGCAGCTGGGGACACGGGGGGACCTCAACGCCCAGGTTTGCCCCCTCCCCCAGCCCGCTCCCCCCCGCAGCAGGGGGGACCCCGGCGTCCCCCCCGGCCGTGGCAGCGGAGCCCGGCTCCAGCTGCAGACCAGATGCTGCGGCTCCGCCGGATCCCGGGTGAACGCGCCGCCCCCGCCCGCGGCCCCGCCGGCTGCTTCCTGCCCATGCCGGGGGACCCCGGGGCACCCCGACACCCGCACCCCCGCCCTGGCGTGGGAAAGCGCCCGCGGGGACACCCCGCGTGCCAGCGCCCGCGGGGACACCCGGCCTGGGCCGCTGCCACCCCCACCAGCACCCGGCCACGGCTCCGGGACAGAGCACGGCAGGCAGAGCGGGGGGACGGGGGCAAAGCACACCCGAGGGTCGCAGCGGGGGTCAGCGGGGGTCCCCACAGGCCCGGTGTGGTGGCAGTGACATGCCAGGGATCACAGGCCCCCACAGGAGGGAGGGCGCCCACCCAGAGCTTCCCTGCGGATGAGGATCCCACGTGCCCCAGATTCCTGCGCCTCTGCAGGAAAAGGGGGAGGGAAGGGGGTCCCGGGAGCTCCGAGACGTGGGGCACCCTAGTGAGTGGGGGTGCTTGGTCCTGCCCATGTCCACCAGTCACTGCCTGGTCCCCAGGGGACACCCCACCCACAATACGGGCTCTGACCCCCACCAGCACCAGGGCCTGGGCTCCCCAAACCCCAGACACACCCATCTGTGACCCACAGCTCCTGTGAGGCCATGTGAGGCCACCCTGTGCCCAGCAGGGTGGTGCCACGCACAACCCAACCCACATATCCCCCAAAACCCCCACGGCACCCCAAACCCCCCCCTGCAGCACATAACCCCCCATGGGCAGGGGGTGCCTACTGCCTCGGTGGGTTCCCACAGGCCCCTCCGCTGCCCTCAGGGGGTGCCTCGTGCTTTGGTTTCCCTGGTTGTGGTGTGGCCCCTGCCCTGCTTGGAGGGGGGAGGCAGGTGGGTGGGCTCCCCGTGCCCTCCAGGCCAGCTCTGGCCCCCGTGCCAGCACGGCGATGTCCCGCCAGGCAGGGCAGGGCAGGGCCGCATCGGGCCAGCTGCCAGCGCCACGGGGCCAGCGGGCACAGCCACAGCCGCCCCTGGGGAAACTGAGGCACGGCACGGCCACCCCGACAGCACCGAGCCCCGCCGCGGGCTGTGGCACCCCCGGGGCCGGGGAGACACGGCACCTCGTGTGACGTCGGGCACGGGGCACCCTGCCAGGGAGTCCCGCCAGCACCCGCCGCCCACGCGCCCGCCAGGTCACGGCCACCGGGACCAGGGCCCTGAGGTGCCCCGGCCGGGGCAAGGGGACCCGTGTCCACCCAGCGCCGCGGCCCACGCGCAGAGGGCTCCAGACTAGGGTGGGGGTGGGCACAGAGAGGGCACAACAGCCCCAGCTACCCCGCTCAGGACAGTCAAGGGGCCCTGCGCTAAGGGGTGGCACCGGAGCCCAGGATCCCCCTGCCCGCCCGGGGGCTCAGAGACAGCCCCCTCCCTTCACAGAGGCAGCGGGAGCCCCCGCGTGTCCCCAGCGCAAACAAAGGCCCTTCGGCCGCGCTCGGTGCCAGCGCAAAGGTCGAGAGGCCCCGAGACAATGGGGGGAGCGAGACGGGGGGGCCACGGCCACGCTCCCCCCCGTGCGGCCCCAGCCACGGGCACCCCACAGTAGGCCTCCCACGATGGACTCCCCGCAACCCTTATCGGGGTGAAAGTCACACAGAGCAGGACTTTCTTTCCCCAGGCCATTGTGGTGGCCCCTGAGTGCCAGGGCAGCGGCTGCCCACTGTGGGGGCACAGGACCCCTCCGGCCCGTGCAAGCCCCGCTCGCCCTCCGCACCGCAGGCACAAAGCACAGCAGGGCCCCACATTCCCCATGCCGGGGGGAGTCCCCAGGCTGGCCAGCGCTCGGGGTGCGCTGCCCGTGTGCCCCCCACTGCCCACCCCCGTCCGGCAGTGTCCCCACGCTTCCCGCGCCCCCCCCTCTGCACAGAGCACGGAATGGGGGGACCAACGGGGGACACTTGGCCATGACCCCCCCAGCGGCAACAGGGCTGGCCGGGCCCCACATCCACACCCAGGACCCCCCGGCGCAGGGGGACCCCCCCGATCCCCGGCAGGGAGGGGAGGCCAGGCTGGGGCTCCCCCTCGCCTGAGCAGCAGCGGCGGCGGCTCCGTCTGTAGTTAATTGGATTTTCCCGGAGCCTTTATCAGGAGGGAACGAAATTCCCGGCGGAGACGGCGCTGCCCGGACCCCGCTGCGGGAAGCGAGGGCGAGAGGCGACCCTCCGTCCTCCCCCCCTCACCGGACTCGGCCCCGGTGTCCCGACTCCCCCCGAAATGAGGACGGGGGTGTTTAAGGAGCCCGGCGGCATCTGCGCAAGGAGCGGGTGGGGAGGGGGCTGAGGCGGGGGGGGGGACTGAGCCCGATACCCCCCTGAGACCAGCACCCAACTCAGACCCCGCCGGCGGACAAGCCCCCCGCACCCAGCCCCGCAGTCCCGTTCCTCCCCCCCCCCCCCCCCCCCCCCCCCCCCCCCCCCCCCCCCCCCCCCCCCCCGGGTTTCGGGGCCGCTCCCCCCGGTCCGATGCGGCGGTGAGGGGCTCGCCCGCCCCCGGCGCGCAGGTACCTACAGCGGCCGGAGCTGCTCCAGGGCGGGGGGCGGCGGGGGGGGCAGCCCCGGGGGCCCGGCCCGTAGAAATCCATGCGGAGGAAAGGGCCGGGGGGCAGCCCCGCCACCGCCGCGCCCTCGTACATGGCCCCGGGGCGGCGGGGGCGGCTCCCCCGGCCGGGGCGGCCCCGGGCGGTCAGTGCCCCCCCCCGCGCCCCCGGGGCGCCCCGCGCCGCGCGTCCATCGCCCCGCGGAGCGGCCCCGCCGCTCGCTCCGCGCCCGGGCGGCGGGAGGAGGAGGAGGAGGAGGAGGAGAGGGAGGAGGAGGAGAAGGAGGAGGAGGACGAGGAGGCGGCGGGGGGAGGGGAGGAAGGCGCAGCCCCGCCGGCTCTGCGGCTCCGCCAGCCCCGGTCCCTCCCGGCACCCGCCGCCTCCCCGCGCTTAACCCGCTCCACGCCGCGGGGCCGCCCCGGCACCCGCGCGGGAGGGGACACGGACACGCGGGGGCGGGACACACGGACATGCAGAGGGCCCGGACATGAAGTGGGGGCTCGGACGCACGGGTGGGGTGACGGACACACGTGGGGACACGGACACGCAGGAGGAAACGGACACAGGGGGACACGGACACGAGGGGGCAGCGCCAAGCGGGAGGGGAACGGGGAGGGGCTCACGGAAGGGCGGGGGGGGGGCTCAGGGGCTGCCCGATGGAGCAGGGCGGGGGATGGGGGTCCCGGGGGGGTCCCGGGGGCTGCCCGGCAGCCGCGGCTCATTTGCCTAATGGGATGCGGGTGAACTACGGGTGAACCCGTGGGAAGGGCTCACCTCGGCCTGACCCCCGGCCCCCCCCCCGAGGGGGATGTGTGTCTGTGTACATGCGTGTGTGCATGTGTGTTCATGCATGTTCTCCCTGCCTGACGCGTGTTTGCATCCCCACTGCAGCGGGGCCACGTGAATTCACGGGTGCGCGGGGAGGTGCGTGTGCACGCCTCAGCCTGTGGCACACACGTGTGTGCAAACGTCCTGCACATACATGTACATGTGTGTGACACCTTGTCCCGCTGAGCACAGGAGCAGCTGAGCCTGTGAACACACGTGTGTGTGTGTGTGTGTGTGTATCTGTGTGTGTTGCATGTGACCCGTGCAGGGCAGAGCACCATGTGCCACCACGCTGGCCCTGCTCACAGGGCCCTGCTGGAGGTGACCCCCCGAACCCAGGGACCCCCAAGCGGTGACAGCGCTGCCCGCACAGAGCAGGGACACGCCAAGGACAGGCCCCAGGGGTGCCACTTCCCGCCGGTGACCCCCCTGCTCCATGGTGGGCACACGGCCTCTGCCGCGCCACGGCCCCCACACTGCCCACCCCAGGGGAGCCCTTGGAGGGAGAGGGGCCCCTCAGAACCCCCCCAGGCCATGGGCAGGAGGAGCACATGTGTGTGCACGGCTGGACACGGGTGGGAGGGTGTGGGCCCTGCACGGGGCACATGCGGCAGGCAGGGAGCGTGCAGAGGATGTGTGTGTGTGTGTGTGTGTGTGTGTGCGTGGGCACACCAGTGAGCACACACATGGCACTGTATGCACAAACACCCCCCCATGACAGTGCACACACGCTCCTGATGCCGTGTGAGGCTGCGTGGGTACGGCTGTGCACACGTGTGCATGTGCCATGTGTGTGCATCTGCGTGTCCGTGTGTGTGTGTCCGTGTGTCCACATCTGTACGTCCATGTGTCCGTGTGTGTGTCCATGTGTGTGTGTGCGTGTGTGTCCGTGTCTGTACGTCCGTGTGTGCGTGCGGGGCCGCGCAGAGCGGCAGCGCCTGTTTAAATAATAATGGCAAGTCGGGCTTTGCTTAGCCAGCAGGTTTCGAACAAAAGCCCAGCGCTGCTCCAACTTCCTGCAGCGAACATGACAAATGTCTGCTCTGACTCATTTACCAGCGCTGGAAAGAATGTGGCTGCGACGGAGGGGACGGCGGAGGGGACGGAGGGGACGGCGGAGGGGACGCGGGCGGTGGCACCGCGCCCGGGCCGTGCCCGCACATCGGGCGGCCGCCCCGACGGGCAGCGCTTCCCGGCCTGCATCGCTTCCTGCGCCGCTTCCCACATCCCTTCCCGGCCCGCATCCCCTCCAGTCCCGCGTCGGCGGCAACAGGAAGAAACAGAGATTAAAAAAAAAAAAAAGGAAAGACCAAAACCTTAATTCCAGAGCCAAGAGGAACTGGGCGAGGGGACACCCCGCACGCAGCCCCGCGGTGTGAGGGGAAGGGGGACACCCCGCCCTGAGCCACACCCCACCACAGGCCTAGGACACCAAAACAGGCCCCCACAGCAGCACTCCCAGCCCCTCATCCTCCTGGCCCCACTCCCAGGATGATGCTCTGAAGGGACACAAGATGCCCCCAAAAGCACGATAGAAACGCAACCCCCACAGCCCACGGGGACCCCACAGGGACCCCAACGTGCCTGGAGGGGGTGGCTTTGGGAGGGCAGGGTCACACCCCCATGGACAGGGATGCCCGGGACCCCCACAAAACATCCCCCCAGCCCAGCCCTGAGGTATGGGGTGTTGGCCACAGCCCCTTCCCCCATCGCCACGCCGGCACCTCGGGGCCCCGCAGCCCCCTGCAGCCCCCCTCTCACCCGCCCACTTCAAAAGACCCCATTTATCCCCTTCAGCGGCTTTTGAGCCCGGCGAATTCCCGGCTGGAGCAGGCGGCTCCCCCCGGCCCCTGACAGTGATAGAGAACCTCCGCCTAATGGGCTTTCCCAGGCCGGGGGCCCAGCGCCTCATCAATCTTCCGGGGGCAGGGATGGGGGGCCGGGGGTCCCCAGCACCGCACCCCGCAGGGCTCCCCGGCCCCTGCCCCGAGCGGGGCCCCGCAGCCCCACGGCCCCCCCCCTGCCCGCGGGCCCCGGCCTTCAGGGAGCACGTTTTGCTCATTAATTTTTAAAAATTAATTAATTACGGGGCGCTGCGGGGGAGCGGCTGCGGCGCGGAGGAAACCGGAGCCAGCGGGTAGGGTGACAGGCCAGCCCGGGCGTGGGGCCCCCCGTCCCGGCAGCCCAGAGTGGGGCCGAGGGGGGGGCCCGGCTGCAGAGGGGGCTGGGCTGGGGTCCCGCTTCCCACAGCCTGGGAACCAGGGTGAGGGAGGGTCCGAGGGGGCGGCTGCACAGGGAGCCCCTCATGGCCCCGCTGAGATCCACCATGGGCCAGCACTGGGCAAGGGGAGAGGACCCCCAGGGACAGCCAAGTGACACTGAGCCCCCAGAGACAGGGATGAGGGCACGGGCACAGCCCTGGCACCGCCACACGCACTGACACGCATGTACACACCTGGCACGGGGACACGAGTGACGCTGCACTGCGTGTGGTGTTAACACACGGGCACAGCAGGCACCGACACACACACACACACACGACACAGGCGTGCACACCCCACACAGCCCAGCTGTGCACACACACACACACACACCCCAGCACTGCTGGCAGCACACGGTGCCACAGACACGCAGCTCCACACACACGCACCCACCCCACAGCGGGCACACACGTGCACACCCGTCAGGTGAGCACACACGTGCCCACGTGCAGCTTCCAACCCATCAGATCCGTCTCTGGGTACGCTCTGAGGTACCCAGTGGAACCTCGGGGGGGGGAACAGCACCCCCAGGACGGCCCAGTCAGATGGGCCCCGGGGGCTGAGCAGCTGCAGCACATCTGGCGACGCGGGCCAGTGGCGGGGCCGGACATGTGTGAGGAGGGGGTGGAGGGGCGAGGAGGGGGCGGAGGCACCAGGCCCCCCCTGCAGCCCTCCCAGGCGGGACACAGACACCAGCACTTCCCCTGCCAGCCGCAGCACCAGGAGCGAGAGCAGCGGCACTGCGGGACACCCAAATTCTGCAGGACCTACACAAACATGTCATCGGTCAGGCTGCGTGGGTGCTACAGGGGGGGCAGACACAGTGCCTCCACCCTCTGCACCCCCTCAGGACCCCGGGCAGCCAGTGGAGGACAAAGGGAAACTGAGGCACGGTTCACCTGCCAGTCATCAGCCCCAGGGCACCCTCCAGCCCTGCCTGCGGCCCTGTCCCCAGCGTCAGGGAAGGGGGGGACACAGGCGGCCCCCCCAGCCTGTTCCCACACGCTGGGAATGGCCCCAGAGCCAGCGCGGGGGAGTGGCCCCACCCGTCGACACCCAGTCGCTGAACTGGTCCCACTGGGTCCCACCGCCGCCGGGGCGGCTCCGGCGGGGGACAGCACCCAGGGCTGGCCCTGCCCGGACCTGCACCGGCCCCCGGGGCCAAGGACGGGCCGGGGGGGCCCCGCCACACCCCGACCCACGGGGTTCCCCCTGACAGCGGGCGCCGCGGGGCACTCAATGCCACATGGCTCGGGAACAGGCACGGGCACCCACTGACTGCGGGGCTGCGGTGGGAAGGGTCCGGCAGCCGCCCCACGGCGCCCAAGGGAGCGTCCAGGGAAACTGAGGCACGCTGAGGGGTGCTCGTTGAGGGGCACCCCGGGTGGAAGCCCACCTCCAGCGGCTCCCAGCTGCCGGCGCGGCGGGCGGTGATTACCAGGCCCGTGATGGACGACCCTGTCACGGGGAAATGGAATCGTGAGCAGCCGCGATGATGATCGCCTTCATCGCCTTCATCGCCTCCCCCACGGCGGCCCCCGGCGAACAAAGAGCCACCGTGGGGACACAGCACCCACCGAGCCCCCCCAGCACCCAGCCTGGCCACGGCAGGGCTGGGGACACCCTGAACAGGGCCCGTAGGGCTGTTCATAACCAGGGTATAACACAGCCACTAACGAAGGTGGCCGTGCCACCACAATTAACGACACACACCCCGGCGGGGCCACTGCCCCCTCCCCACCTCAGCTCCCCGAGGCGCACTTACGGAAACGCACGGGGAGAAGCATCCAGAGTTTGTGTCACAGAGCTGATGCACCCCAAACACAGATCCCCACGGGTGTGGTTGAGAGCAGGGAGACCCTCCCAGTGATGCCACCACCCCAGGACAGGTCACGGACCAGTGCTAGAGCAGCAGCCTGGGATAGGCACCCGCAGCTCATGCTGGGGACAGACCCTGGCACAGAGGGGTCCCCACATGCCCCCCCAACCCTGGGGGCTCCACCAACCCCCCCCCCGAGGCCGCAGTACTCACTGGCAGGTGATGGGGTGCTGTATCCACTGACGGGGAGCTGGTGCTGGATGCCCGCCAAGGTGCTGGGGGGCGAGAGCCCCCCCAGCATGTGTGGGAAGAAGAAGGCGTAGGGGGGCACGGGGTAGCCATTGAGGTGCCCCCCGCCCGGCGTGGGGCAGGAGCTGCTGTTGCTGGCCATGGCAGGGGTCTCCGGCGCAGGGGGGCTCTCAGGTGCGGGGGTCGGGGGGCGAGCAGAGCATGGGGCCCGCGGGTGCCCCGCTGCCGGGCTGGCCTCGCTGGTGACGCTGGTCCTGCGGCGCTGTGGGGGGAGCAGAGAAGGGGGTTAGCAGAGGGGCTGGGACCCCTGAGCCCCACCCCACGGGGGCACCCACCATCCGTGCCTCAGTTCCTCCAGCCCCCCCAGGTCCACATCCCCTCTCGGCCCCAGGAGGGCGCAGCCGGCCGGGTCCAGGGCTCCCCGCGGGATTAACGTCGATCCCTCCGATTAACAACACCGGGACGGCGGCACCGGCAGGCGCAGCTCACTAATCCCGGCTTAGCGCCGAGGGGGGGGGGATGAGGGGACGGTGTGGGGACGGCCTGGGGACACTGTGGCCCCACAGAGCACCCTCTCCGGCCAGCGGCCACACCGCGGCCCCAAACCTGCTCCCCCAGGGCCGGCATGGGAGCAGGGGCACAAGGCGAGTCCCGGGGGGGCAGCACCCTGTGTCCAAGCCTGGGGGGCTGCGAGGCAGCTGGGGGCGGGGGGGGCACACGGGCACAGCGGGGTCCCCTGAGGACAGCGGCTCTGCTCCAGCCCGGCTCTGCCGTCACGGCCACACGCCCGCCCCGGCTCCGCTCCCCCCACGCCTGCGCCGAGCGCGAGGGGGCTCAGCCACCCGGCCTCGGGCAGGAGGGGGCTCAGCCCCCCCAGAACAGCATCAGGGGGCTCAGACAGGCCGCCCCCAGCAGGGTAGGGCTCTGCCCGTCACGGCGCAGCCCCCGCCCCGTGCCATGTGCCAGGCCGTGCCGTGTGCCGGCAGCTCCCACGCCAGGCCAGCGGGCACAGACCCCTCGGCCCAGGCGGGTCGGGGGGCGGTGGGGAGGGGGGCGCAGGGCTTTCACAATCCCGGGCTGGCTGTTTATTTAAGCGCTGGCACGGGGCCCGGCGGGGGCTGTTTATTTGCCGAGAGCGCTGGCTCCTAGCCCCGCGGAGGCGGAAAAGGATCCAGAGGAACAAGGCTGGGCCGCCCGGCGAGGCGCTGGGGAGGGGCCGGGATGGGCATGGCCCTGCCCGCCCCCCCAGCACCCGGCTGGGTGCACCCACTGGAGGCAGGACCCCTGTTCTCCCAGTTCACACCAGCACTGCCCATGCCACCATCCCAGCGCTGCCCTCCACCCATGGGGAGCACCCACGAAGAGACCCACGGTCCAGCCATCTGCAGGGAGGGCATCCAGCAGCGGTTGGGTGGGGGTCACGTCCTGCCCAGCCCAGGCTGTCCCGGTGCACGCAGGATTCCCATGGGCATCACCGGGACACAGTGCCGGATGCCAGGTCAGCATCTGCCCAGGGACAGCCCCCGCGTGGGGTCCCCCCATGGCGGTGCACGGACCACGGCCTGTAGTGTGAGGGGCTGCCCATGGCCCCCCCGGTCAGGCCACGGCCCCCAAGTTGTGCTGGCCAAGGGGAGCCCAGGGAGGGAGGCGCGGGAAGAACTGTTTATGTTTGTTGGTGCCAAGTGCTCGCCGGGCACCACGCCAGCCGTGCCGGGGCCCAATTACTCAACCCACTCCGGCCCCCCCACACGCTGCCGGCCTGGGACCGAGCGAGGCCAGCGCCACCAGGCTGGCCACTGTGCACCCCAAACCAGCCAGAGGCCCCCCAGCCCCTTCCCAACGCTCCACAGGACCAGCAGTGGCCAGGAGAGCCCAGGGACCCAGGCCAATCCTGCTCCTGTGGGTCCTGGTGGACAGGAGGAGCTGTCGCCCATGGGAGCTCCCACGGGACCACGTGCCGGCACTGCCCCCGGCACATGGTTACACCCCAACTGGGGGGTCCTGGGTGTCCCAAATGTGGATCCTGGGTGCTCCAAATGGATGTCCTGGGTGCCCTGACCACGCTGTGTTCCCAGAGCCCCCCAGAGCTGGGGTCCAGGGGCCGTGCAGCCCCTCGGCGGGGCCCACGCTCACCCGCCCCGACGCCTTTTCCTCCAGTCCCTGCAGGAGCTGGACGGGGCCCGGAGCTTCCTGGAATCCAGCGTCTCGTTCCAGCCCCGTGGAAAACGCTGCCGCGGGGCCCGGGCCAAATCCAGCCACGAGGAACCTCCCGCCCAGGCCGGGGGTGGCCCCCGGGAGCGGACGGACGGACGGATGGACACGCAGACCAGAGCCATTCCCAGGGCTGGCAGCAACACAGCTCAGGGGGGGCACAGCCTGGGGAGGACATGGCCGGGGACATGGCTGGGGGGGGCCACCATCCTGCCATGACCCCAAAGAGGGCACAAAGCCCACTGCACACACCCAGACAGGCCATGAAGCCCTGGCACAGCCCCTCAAGTGATCCCTTCCAAAAAAGCAGCCCCCTCCCCAGTGACCCTCAGGGACCCCCCCAGGCTGGGTTCGGTGCCCACAGCCCCACCCTGCTCCCACCCCGTCCGGCACAGCCAATGCCAACCGCAGAGGGACCAGGATGGCACCACGACACCCCCTCCCCATGACCACCCCAGCCAGCTGCACCCTGTCCCACCCACGGGCTCCCTGAAGCCCCCCCGTGCAGGCAGCACCCCCAGCCCCAGTGCCCACGTCACACCCCCAAACCCAGCCGCGCTTCCTGCCGGGGCACACGGCGATGGCAGCGGATGTGACACGCCGGTGAGCGGGGGCACCGCCCTGGCCCCCCTGGCAGAGGGGGGTAAATGGAGCTGGGAGGGTGTTTGGGGGTGCCTGGCAGGGCAGTGGGCAGCAACCCAGCCCTTCCTGTCACGCCGGCGGGCACCGCGCTCCCAACCGCAGCTTCCCCTTGCCACTCTCGATTCCCAGGCGGATAGGTTTCAGTTCAGCCCTGGCCCAGTTGCCACAGCCCCCTGTCACCCCAGAGCCTGTCACCCTGTTGACCTGCCACTTCATTTCCCCTGTCCTTCGTCCCTGCTGCCACCACAGTGTCTGCCACCTCAGCATCCTGCACTCCCCACATCTGGCAGGGGCTGTTGCCCATGTCCCCTGTCCTCACCGGGACAGGCGACAGGGACCTCCCAGTGCCAGGCTGCCCCCAGGGCGTGTGTGAAGAGGCGGGGGTGCCGTGCTGGGCTGGGGGGGCACGGGGTGGCAGCCCCCGGGCAGGGCAGGAAGCGCCCGCGGAGCCGCTGCGGTCGCAGCCTGCGGTTTCCTCGCTGCCGGCAGAGCCAGCCCGGGGTGGCCTCGCACGCGAGGCCAAAGACCTGGCTGGCCCCGTTGCCCCCCCAGCCGCCACCGGCCCCCCCCAGCCCAGCCAGCACCGTGCACAGGGGGTGAGGTGCCCCCCTGGCAGGGCTGCTGAGAGAGACCCCCTCCCCATATCCCCAAAGCTCTCAACCGTGAGTCACCGTCACGTTTCTCACGTCCCCGGGCAGGCGTGAATCATGCCCAGCCTGCGGCACGGCCAGAGCCAGCGGCACACACTCGGCCAGGCAGCCTGTGCCGGAGTCAGGGCTGCTGGGACCTGGGAATCTGGGAGTGCTGGGGACAGTGCAGACGCCAGGACGTGCATCCCGCTGCTCCCCAGGGGCAGCGGCACATCCAGGGGCTCACTCAGCCCCATCACAGGTCCCTGCGCGGCACTGGTGACACCCTGCGGGCCAGTCACCACCCCCAATGGGCCACTGCCGCTCCCCGAGCGTGGACACGGGGCCAGGGACCCCACTCTAGCCCCCGGGGGTGGTGTCCATGCCGGCAGGGGCGGTGTCCACACTGGCCTCCCCACCCCATGGGGGCACACAGGCACCCCGAGGTGTGGCTGCAGGCCCCGGGCCGTGGGTCCTCACCCCGGCACCCCAAATCCCGCTGCTGCCGGGAGCCACACGCTGAAATTCCACCTGTCGCGGCCGGGCCGACTCCGGTTACGCGGGGAACGCGCCACTCCGGTTACACCTCCCGCGCCCACCGCCAGACGCGCCATTCTTCTCCGGGAACAGGTGCCCCGGCCCCCGCCACGGCCCCCGGGACGGCCATGGCTGTGCCAGGCCACCATCAGCACCACTCAGGCCACGGGTGCCGTGGGAGGTGCAGGCCAGTCCCAAAGGTCCGGCGGTGTCCGGGCCAGTCCCTTCCCAAGCAGCCCATCACACTGTGGGATGGCCCCGTAGCACTGTGGGGACCCTCACACCCACCACTGCCTGCCCATGAGGGGAGACACCCCCAGGCCCAGCCCAATCCCCAGCCCTGCATCCCAACTGTCAGGATGAGTGCAGGGATCTGCAGGCCCAGGATGTCCCGGGCTATCCCATGCCGGTCCCCTGCGGGCTCCTGGGAAGCAGGGGGATGGTGTCCTGGCAGCCGCCCGCGGCAGCCCCGGTTGTTTTTAGCCGAGGCTGCGGCGGCAGCCGGCGCCCTGGGAATGGCGTGCCGGGAACAGCGCGGCCCCAGACAGCCCTCGCTGGCTCGGCGACAGCCGGCAGACAAGTGCAGCTGGCACGGGGCCGCTCGGGACACGGCGCGGGGGACCCGGCGGGCAGGCGGCCGCGCGACACCCCCGGGCACCGGGATTTGGTGGCACCGTGCCCCCGGCCTGGGCAGGCTCCTGGGAGCCGGGGCCTGGAGTACCTGGGGGGGGCCGAACCGCCCCTGCGCCGCAGCCACCGCGACCCACCGCGTCGCGCCCAGGCTGGCTGCAGGCGGGCGTGCGGCCGTGTGCCACGGCCACGTCCCCTCGCCTTGTCCCCTGTCACAGCCTGGCAGCCGGGGCTCAGCGGGGACAGCGGAGGCCACGGCGGGCGCACGCGGCCCCTCGCCGGGCCCTGCCACGAGCCACCCCCCGCTAAGCCGCCTCCAGCCGCAGGGAGATTAACCCATTTTCCGTAATCAGCACATGTGTCACCGCAGATATGATCGCACACACCCCCCCCCCGCGCCCGCCGAGGCCCCCCCCGGGGCTGGCACTGCCAGGGGGCCCTGCGGCACAGGGTGTCCCGTGGCATGGGGCACCTCTGCTCTGCAGGCACGCACCACGGAGGACACACAGCTCTGCCAGCCCTGAGGTGCTGCAGCAGCACCCCAAAGAGAGCTGGGGGACCCCAGAGCACAGCCACCCCCTCGGTGGCAGCGCTGGCATCGGCGCTGGGCATCGCCGGGACGGTGGCTGAGGACACGGCAGCTCAGGGCACGCATGGCCGGCGCAGCTGAGTGTGGCACGTTGTCACGCCAGAACCTCCTGGATATAAATAGATCCGGAGCGGCGGGATGGTGAATCCCAGCGCCGCAGGGCAGGCGGTGGCGGTGGCACGGGCCGTCCCCAGGCGCTGTGGCCACGGGGACAGAGCGCAGGGACACGGGCAGGTGTGTGAGGACAGCTGGGCATCCCTGTGGGATGGGGTAGCCACAGGCACCGGGCAGTGCCGGATGAGGCACAGGGAGGGCACTGCCCTGCTCCTGCCATCCCGCTGGCGGTGGCCGTGTCACCGTGTCACCTGGGGGGGCTGCGATCGGTGGGCACCGGACACACACCAGGTCACCCCCGGGCATCCCCAGCGCTGGCACCCACGGGAGCAGGCGCATCCCGCGCCGCAGCAAGGTCACCCCCAAGGGCAGGGTGGGGGCCCACGGGTGACATATGGCCCGGGAGCGGTGGCCGCGGGGCCGCTAAGCCACCGAGCCGTCACCCGCTAATCCCGGCGCGGGGCCGGCGGCGGGTGCCGCACCCGGAGCCTCCAGCCGGTGCCTGCCTGGCACCTCGGGGTGGGGGGGGACCGGCGTGGGGAACCCTCCGTATCGCCCCAGCACCGGCCGCGCTGCGGGGCGGCCCCGCCACCAACGGGGTCAAAGGTCAGAGGCACAGATTTGGGGGGCAGGGGCACAGATTTGGCTCTGCCCCGGCCTCCCCGCGGCCGGGGGCGCTGCTGCCCGTACCTGGGGGGGGATCCCCCCGTTGAGCCCCCGGGGGGCAACATCCCCCCACCCTCCCACCCCCCACACACCCCGCGGGGGCTCCGCCACCCCCGGGGCGGCCCCGAGGCAGCTGCCGCGGCCGGGGAGACGGCGGCGGGCGGTCGCCCCCCCCCCCAAACCGGGCCCCGCCGCCCCCCGCCCGGCTCCCCCGGGCCCCCCCGGCCCCCCCGCCCGCCGCCGCCCTGTCAGCCGCGCAGAGCGATGGCTTCCTCCGCCCGCCGGCCAGGAAACGGCGCAGACGCCGCTCCCGCCCCCCGGCCCCCGCCGCCCCCCGCGCCCCCGGCCCCGCTCCCCCGCCGGGCCCCGGCCCCGCCGCACCCCGAAAAGGGGAAGCGGCCCCGGCCCCCCCCCCCCGCACCCCCGCCGGGGGAATGTGGCTGCGCGCCCCGGGAGGGGCCCGGTAATCCCAGGGGAGCACCCCCGGCACCGCGCTCTGCGGCCGGTCCCCCCCCACCCCGGTCCCCGGTGCGGTGCGGGGCACCGGAGCCCTCTCCGCGGTGGGGGCGCAGCGCGGCCGCTCGGGAGCGCCCCGGCGGTCGGTACCGGGAGGGGGAACTCCGGCACCCCCGAGCTCGGGGTAGGAACACGGGGGGGGGTGTAAAGCCACAATCCAGAACCGGCTGCGGCTCCGGTGCTCCCGGCAGCCCCAGCCCAGCGGGGGTCCCTTCCCCCGCCCCGCGGGAACCCCGGGATCCCCCAGATCCCCCGTTACCGGAGGGGGATCCCCAGAGGCGGTACCGAAGCTGCACCAAGACCCTCCCTCCCCACCCGCCCCACGGGGCCACACTCATTACCTGCTCACGGGAGGGTCCAACACCGAAATCCTTACACCCGGCGAGCTCCCGGCGGTGGCTGCATGGCGGCGGTGGCGGCACCGGGAAGCGGCGGGGTGGCGAGGGGGGGGGGGGGGGGGGGGGGGGGGGGGGGGGGGGGGGGGGGGGGGGGGGGGGGGGGGGGGGGGGGGGGGGGGGGGGGGGG